TGAGCTCAAATTAATTAACTTCTATGTTCTATTTCTTCTTAGAGCATGTTTATCGGACATGCTCTCTGAGTATCATGGGATTTAAATGGTCAGTTTTGGGCTCAACTCTGCGTGATTCGTATCATCCTGATGATCCGTATCAGGGACACGTGGCATGTTATATTGGACCGTGTTTTTAGGAGTGGGCCAAGACACAAAATAATCTGTCATTCTCTCGATTCTTCTTCTCTCTCTCGCGAACTCTGCTCTCTGCGGCGAATCCAACAGCGACTCGGACGGGGCGAATCGTGTTCTCTTTGATGGTGCATGTCTCGATGTCATAACCAAATTCATCAGATGCAAATGACGACGACGAGAGAATTTAGGGTTTCAAGGATGAAGTTGCGATCGGTGTTTGATGCGTCGGAAATCAAATTGGAATTCGAATCGCCGGGAATAAACCCTAATTTCGTGATTCCCATCTGGAAGTATGTAATTCAGAATCCTGATTGCATTTGGGATCTTTAACTTTTGTTTCAGATCTTTAACTTGAAAATATACTTATTGATGCNTTATATAACAAGGGTGAAGTATGTGTTATGGTTGTGTTATGTATTCTTCCATGTTACATAGCTGTTGTTTGTGAACTTGTTCTGCATCTTAGTATTTATTTATCTTCTAATATGTATGATGTTCTTACTTCTCCTTATTTTCTAGGATATGCGGTTGCTCTTGATATGAACTTGTTCTTGTGAACTTGTTCTGCGTCTCACCATTTACTAATCAANCTTCNGGTTCCTTTATCATTTGGGTGTTTTCAGGCTTGTAAGCCATGAATTGGNCGAGCTTTGNGTATGTAGGATCATAACATATGTTCGCCAATTGATTGCATGTTTTTATGCATCATTTTCTGTAAACAAAAATCTTATATATGCGTGGTTTTTGTGCACACATCAATCCTTTTATGGTTTGGGAATATAACTACCTATGCAATTATTTACTTAAGCATATATCATGTATAATGGCATCTGGTCTTCCATGTACGCTTGCTAAAGGACAGGATACCTTCACTCCAATCAGCTATGTTATGACCCTTTTCGAAGGAGATGTCATATTGACATGTAAATGTTTTTTCCCATCTTCAAGATTCCGCGTTGAACCAAAAAACTTATAACATTGGAGTAGTGGTTTGCTTTGAACTATATAGCTAAGAACATTGAAGATAGTATTGTGAAGAAAGTTGGTGAATGTTAATGTATAGGTACACCAGAAGGTATCGGACCTGTAAAGAGATTGGTCAGAACTCAAAAGATAACCGCTGGAATCACGGGTTTTTCTGAAGTTTAGTTCGATGTGGGTAGGCGTGTGTAGCCATTGTTGAGCTAGCTAGTGTTTTTGTGAATCTTCAACTTAAAAGTCTTTCTATATATTTAAATTGGTTTCTTCTGGCTAATATCAAATCTTGCTGAGTTTTTGTGATGATGATAACATGTTAATATTCTTCAACCAAAATATAAACTCCAACACTAAGAATGTATGTGAAGATTCAACTACTTTGCCGATAAATTCAAGTGATATTGGTATTCCATTGCATTCTTGATCAAGTTTTATAATTAAAAATTAATTTTCTTTCATTTTTTTTTTATTAGAACCCCCAATGAGTATCACTATTGGACATACCAAAATCATCAAAATCTAATTAAGTCTCAAAAATTAAACTACTAATAAAATTAATCATAAATTAATGTTAATGATATTCAATAGGGTTCTAAACATGCTCTTAGTTTAATTGGACTTGAATAATTTTGATACTTTAGGCCCACTAGCTAGCCAATTTTGAAACTTGAACGTCGTAATAATAAGTTTGAGACCGTGACTACTTTTATATTAGGCCGTGTCTAGTTTATTAGATTTGACTTGTGTTAAGCTATTCGATTTAGATCATCCACTCTTAATATTTTGTGAAATAAAAACACAGAAATCAATGATAGAGTTCTGTTGTAGTACTAAACACAGAAATCATTTAAACTCTCTTACTTCCAAGCTCAAAGTCGCAAATTTACATATTCGTGAACAAATTAATTCTTTGAAACATAGTATCTACAAGATATCCGTAGCTATGACATGTTTTTTCTGTTAAAACTTAAAAACTATTTTTTATTTTTACTATGAAATAGTTGTGACACACTTTTGTAATTTTAATTCAACGGCCGTGATGTACAAAATACAATAATCGAATCATTTTGTCGTCACATGAATGTTGAATTAATCTAATTGATATGGATCGATGTTTCTAGAAATTTTCCTACTTTGATATTGACGATATAAGTTTTTTGGAAAAATAATAAAAGAGTCGGCAAAAAGTTCTAAGTCTTTCTTTTTGTCGAATTATGGCCGAAAGTCGAGTCTCGTGAAAGCTCACATTATGATAAATGCTAATATATTAATAACATTAATAAATCCCAAAATCGGCCCAATATTTCCCCCACACATACCAATTCATTTTCACTCGGAATAAATTTCATGTGACTGTATAAAACACAAACACGGTAGTGGAGCCTTTTTTTAAAAAAAAAAAAAAATTTGATAAATCGTAAAAATTCTAATCTTTTACCTCATAATTTTCTCAGTATTCAAAATCATTCTTTAGATTTTTCAATTTAAAAAATAATCGAGGTTTTAACTCGCAATACAAACAAAAACTACCTAGTAGTGGAGCTTGCATATCAAAATGTAGATGGTTAAGAAACGAAATGTTTATTAGAAAAAAAAAATTTAACTAGCACCATCCCGTCTAACACCACTGAACAGTTGCAAAAAATCCATACTTATACATAAAAATCTTTATTTACACATGTATATATATTTTTTTTGTCACTATTTGTCTTACACCGCACCGGTTCCCTATCACCATTCGGAGGATTTCAATATAAACATTTCTTTTTCAACTGCG